TATGAATCTTAGTCAACATTAGTGGAACCTAACAAAGATTAAAAAAAAAAAATTAAATTCATTATTAGATTATTGAGTTAAGAACAATAAAATAGATAATTAGTATTAAGTTTTGTAGTAGGAGTTGGTCACCAGAGATAGTGGAAGCTAGATTGATCCTATTTCCAGAATCTTCATGAACTTCTTCTTCTAGAATTTCATCATTAGACAGTACTAAAATATTTAGACAAAAAATAAACACTCGTGAATCAGTAATGATATATTGAAAGCTAAAATCAGAACAACCATCATGAAAGTAAGTTGATGCATACTTAGGGTCATTCTTACCGCATTTCCGTTTAGAAAACCATCTTGTAGAGATGATTGATTGGTCAGAATTGTCCACTTGCATGAGTAATATCAAATGTCTCAATGAATCTCCATTCACCAAGTAGGTGGTGATTCACCTAACGTACGGATCTTAACACTCTAAGCTAAATAAGAAAAACAAAAGCTATTAGAGATGAAACAAAGAAAACATAATATGTAATGTTAATATAAAGGAGCAAGTAATAACCTTTTTATCGTGCTTGGTGAGATTAGATGTTGTGAATAAGGTTGTATTTATAGTGTTTTAAGTAGGTGTAGGGTTTTGGTATAGTGAATAGAGCAAATATATTATATTTTTGGAAATCTTTAAATCGTCATAGATAAAGAATATGCTACATAAATAATCAACCAAATAAGGATAAAATCGATTAGTTATGAGACATTTCCAAATCTTTTAGTTGGATTGAATATCGAATTTATATCGTTCATTTTATTTAGGAAACAAATGTGATTTGCAATAAACTCCTTAACACTTTAATAGGAAACCATTTGTACCGGAAAAGATTTGCTAGTTGAGAATAATCAATCCAATCTATGTCCATTTGTACATTTGCGATTGATATCTTCCCAAAATCAATCTATCAATTTTGTTTTTCCTTTTTTTTTGTAGGAATAATAAAGCCAAAATTGAAGATCTCATTGTAGGGATTATCAAATATGGAGAGTAATTCTCGGGATATAAATTAAGGTAAGATAATATGGTAAAATAATTCTGTTGAAACATGGATTTTTAAATATGGAATGTGGAATAATTGTCAAGAAAACTAACTTGTTAAGATATGTTGAAGATATGGACTTGAATATCATCGGCCATAATGGGAAGAAGCATAAATGGCAATGATAATTAAGATTTGATCACTATAGTCTATATCACGGTTTGGCAGTAGTAGTAGGATAAACTTATATACTCCGAAATTTTTGCTAATGTTTTAGGAAAGTCTCGTAACTATAGGTCTAACGTTTAATGTGGGTCATTTAGATATTGTTAGAATTTGGTAGATTAGGAATGTAACTAAGCGAATATTTAGTCGAATTACTTGATTTTTTTTGGAAAGTCTTATTTAAAAGGATCCGAGAGCTGTTATTGGCCAATGAGTCGGGTCAAAAAATCTAATCGGGTCAAAATCTCACTAAATACCCGACCCGATTGGCTTTGAGCAAATTTGTACTTCAAAAATGTTAAGTAGATACACATATTTATATATTCCTTCTCATTTTACCAGTTGATAAAAATATACTGAGATATTTATATGGCATTATTAATATGATCACTCAGCTTTTTCTAAGTAGGCAATGAACTTAATAAGAATCATAAAACACCATTATATCATTTGGACCCCTCCATGCTTCACCCACATGGTTGCTGATCTCAACTAGGAATATTTCCATAATTGAAACCTGATTTTGTGTATCAAACTAATAATATTAATGATATATATATATATATTTTTTGTTTGTTTTTTCATCAACTAATAATATTAATGATAAAAATTGTAGTTTAATAACTTTTAACAAAAATAAGAAAAGCTTAGTTACTTTAATCTTTTTGTGTCATTTACCTAGCTTATTAAACCTGCATAAGTAGTGTTATATAAAAAAAAACCAATATTGATAACCGGTCTTATTTGACAAACAAATCAATCATTACATCATTACAAATTTATCATGTAAATTTTAATATTTTATATAAAAGATTAAACTTACAAATTGGTCATCGAAGCCTTCTTAGCTCAGTGGTAGAGCGCGTGGCTTTTAACCACGTGGTCGTGGGTTCGATCCCCACAGGCGGCGTTATATTTTTTCTCAATTTTTTTTCCCAATTTATCCTTTTATCAATAGTTTTCCTCGTCGTCTTCTTCGATTCTTTATCTTCCTTCCTTTGCTTAAACCCAAAACCTCAAAAATTTTGAATCCGAAAGGAGAAATCAAACTATGTTACAATCAATTCATCTTCCTTTTTCCTCCACACCATCACCTTCTCAAAGAGAATCTCTAATTATTCCATCGATTATTTGCTCATTTCCTTTCTCCTCTTCTTCGTTCCGTCCAAAACAAACCCAGAAATTGAAGTGTCTGGTTCAGTTTTGCGCTCCTTACGAGGTCGGAGGTGGATATACCGATGAAGAATTGTTCGAAAAATACGGAACCCAGCAAAATCAAACTAATGTCGAAGATAAGTTAAACCCATCTGAGTATGAAGCTTTGCTTAAAGGAGGCGAGCAAGTGACATCCGTTCTTGAAGAAATGATTACCCTCGTATGTATTTCGAGTTATGTTTCATCAAAATTTGCTTTTGTTTCGTTTCTCTAAGCTTGGCATTTCGTCGAACAACTTATAGGCGTTAAGCTTTATGATACATATAGTCGTTACTTACTCGTTAGTACGTATTTCTACGTTTCCATTGAGTTATTTTCATCTGGGTTTGCTTTTGTGTTGTTTTCGGAAGCTTGGCATTTTGTCGAACACCTTAAAGGCGTTAGGCTTAGTAGTTCTGGGCATATTCTTCACTTTTTCCAGATAGTTTTATGATATACATAGAATCGTTACTCGTTGGTTATGTAAATTTTGGGTTCCGTAATGGCTTGATATGTCTCTGATGTGTAGTTGGAAGATATGAAGATGAATGAAGCATCTGAGAATGTTGCTGTAGAATTGGCTGCACAAGGAGTTATAGGGAAAAGGGTTGATGAAATGGAATCAGGGTTTATGATGGCTCTTGATTACATGATCCAACTCGCCGACAAAGACCAAGACGATAAGGTAACATATTCTGCATTTTTCCTCTGAATTTACACAAACAATTTCTCTAGATTGTCTTGAGTTTGCTACACAAAACGACCAAGATAGCTAGAATTGCTTTTGCAATGTAGTGTAGCAAATCTTACATATTTTCTCTGGATTTTATGGCTGTGGTTACTTTTGCCATAAGCTGGGACAAAGGATTAAAGAATTTTTGTTTTGGTTTCAGAGGAAGTCTTTACTAGAGGTAGTGAAGGAGACTGTCTTATCTCATCTCACTAAAAAATGCCCTCCTCATGTGAGTAATATTTTAGTCAGTTTCTTTTTACTTTCAAGACTTTGTACTAGCTTCATATCAACGTTCGTGTTTCTCTTTGTTTAGGTCCAGGTGATTGGTTTACTATGTCGAACCCCTAAAAAGGAAAGTAGACATGAGCTGCTGCGTAGGGTGGCTGCAGGTGGTGGGGCTTTTGAAAGTGAGAACAGTACTAAACTTCATATACCCGGAGCAAATCTGAATGACATAGCTAATCAAGCTGATGACTTGCTCGAGGTATTGTGTTTGTTTAGGCATATATCTATTTGTATTAGAGATAGTCTGAAAATGTGAATAAGTATGAGAAAGTTTTGCAGACTATGGAAACAAGGCCAGTTATTCCTGATCGAAAACTACTAGCGAGGCTTGTCTTGATCAGAGAGGAAGCAAGGAACATGATGGGAGGAGGTATACTTGATGAAAGAAATGACCGAGGTTTCACCACTCTGCCTGAATCAGAGGTTTTGTATGACATGCTATCATGTCCATTATACCGTGTTTATGAACATAGTTGAAACATTGAAAACAATGACTTGTTGCATGATCGTCGAACAGGTCAATTTCTTAACCAAATTGGTAGCTCTGAAACCTGGAAAGACTGTGCAGCAAATGATCCAGAATGTAATGCAAGGGAAAGATGAAGGTGCAGATAATCTTAGCAAAGAAGACGATTCTTCTACCCAAGGAAAAAGACAAAGTGGGATAAATGGAAGGGTAAGTATGATCGACTAAAACATCTTCGCTGAAAAGTGAAGACTTTTTTTCAGTAGGCTCTGAACCAAAAGATTAGTCTTTTTTTCTTACTTGGCTTACTTGATGCGATCTCAGGTAAGCGTTACAGGAAGAAAACCGTTACCAGTAAGACCAGGAATGTTTCTAGAGACCGTCACAAAGGTAAGTTTCCAACATTTCCCGATCACCTTTGTTCAAACAGATGATAGTCATGGAGAATATTAACCATTTTATGTAATGTTTGAATCCAATCTTGATAGGTTCTGGGAAGTATATACTCAGGTAATGCCTCCGGTATCACCGCACAACATCTAGAATGGGTAAGTTTCTTATAACACCAAAAATTTGCAAACAAAGTCTCGTTTCTTTGCATTCATCAGAGTTTATATTTGTTCACAGGTTCACCAAAAAACCCTACAAGTTCTTGAAGAAATCGCGTATTAGTAGTATTTACCTTGTCACATCAAGAGAGATTTGAAGGTAGAGATTGCGTCCTTGAATAATATAGTTCGGTATATATAATTGTAATTTGGTTGGTTGATATGACAAATAATGTCTCTCTACTATATCCATACCATATCCATTAAAGCTCAAAAGTTGAATTTGAGAAAAAATAAAAAAAAGAAGAATAATAGTAGTACTATAGCAAATCTTTAACCCATTCGAAACGGATGGGAAAAATTGTAACTTTTGTCCTATATGTACCAATTTAGTTGAATAATGAATTAATGATAACAATCTAAAGTATTTGATGATTTATAACAAAATATTTAAAAATATTCGAATAACCAATTTTAATTTATTTTGTTCCAACGGTTTAATATAGAAGACATGCGAACGAGACACGAGTCCTATAGAGTAGAGTAGTAAATGAAAAGTAATTAGTAGTAGGGGCATAGTCTCGTAAATAAACGAAAAAGTAAGGGTAAAAATCCCCGGACGTGAGAGCAATTGTTATATCCATTTGAATCCTCGTCAGGTTACACGAAACGATTCCGCTTCTCCGCTTCTATAATAAATATTTCCCCACCACTCATCGTCTCTAGATTGTTCTTCCACACGCAATTCTCATTTCTCTCTAACCGTAAACGAATCTTTCTTCTCTAAGTTTTTTCTCTCTGCGATGGCTCAAGAAGATGTTACTCCTGCTGCTACTAACGGTGCTGCTCCGGTGGAGACGCCTCTTGTCTTCACTGAGATCAAGCAGATGTTGATCGTTGAAGCACAAAAAGTCGGTGACGCTGTTACTTTCTACAAATCTGCTTTTGGTGCGATTGAGTCTGGTCATTCTCTTTACCCTAAGCGTAAGCTTGACCAAGAGCTTCCTCATGTTCTCTGTTCTGAGCTTAACCTCGCTGGCTCTTCCTTCGTTGTTTGCGACGTTTCCTCTCTCCCTGGATTTTCTACGTAAGCTTCTCTCTCGTTTTGCTTCTAGATCTCCATGTTTTCTCTGTTTTTTTTTAGGTTTTTGCTCGTTTAGTGTTTGATTTTGTTGTAGATCTGGATTTAGGTTGTTATATGAGAAGAAATCTGGAAATAAAGCTTGTTTAGAAGTTATTCTTCTTCCTTAAACACGAGTTTTTTGTTCGTTTTAGATCTGGATTAAGATTTTTGAAATGACAAGTTTCTGGAAATTTACAACGCTTAAAAGCTATTTTCCATGGATAGTTCTGCTTTCTTCAACACGATTACTGTTTATTTATGTGGCTTTTTTTATTAAACAGTGCGAAATCGGAAGGTTCGAGAGTGAATCATCTCCTCGGAACTAATAACGTTGAAGCCGCCGTTGCGAAAGCTGTTGATGCCGGAGCTGTGAAAGTGGAGGTTTCGGAGGCTGAAGTTGAACTGGGATTCAAAGGAAAAGTCACGGATCCTTTTGGTGTCACTTGGATCTTTGAGGAGAAGAAGACCGAGAACGTCGTTGAGAACGACGAGAACAAAGAGGTTTAAGAACTGTCGTCGGATCTGATTCTTCGTCGGTTTCTGAACAGAAAAACTCTAGTATTATCCTATTTTCTGGTATTATGCTTTTATTTTGTCTTTTGTGGAATCCGGTAATCAGTAAACCGGATCGAGTAGGCTAATGACTTTCGGAGTTTTAATTTTCACCCCTTTTGACAAACTCTAATCTTGGTGAAATTAAGTATTAATCTCGGGTTTGGATTTTATTATGTTTTGTTGATGATTTCGCTTCTCTTATCGTTTATGGGTGGGTGAGTCTGTGTTATTGTCATTTTTGTTGGTTTAGAACTGAGGGTAGTATCGTCTATTGTGGATTAAATGAATGGTTAGCGGTTAAGATAAGAAGGAATTAAGATTATAGGAATAATTTCGAATTAATTTGTTGTTTTGGTGTCAGAGTGTTGAATACTGTGTCGGAGGTAGTGAAACCATAAACCTCTGAATTTGTGCTTTGTGGCTTCTCTATCGCTTATTGGTACTGTTTTCGAAATTGCCCTTACGTTTTTTTGGGCCTTGTGAAGTTTTCGATTGGTCCTTTTGACCATTTTTTGGGTTTACCCATAAACGCCATTTGGCTTAAAATACGATTTATAAAAAGGACAAATAACATCCGATATTTAGAATAGGAGAAATACATACACACAAACCAAGCTTATTTAACAAGTTGGGGCGTTGGTTAGGCCACACTGTTTGGGGAGACCAGAAGCGAGTTCAGGATCAACACCGAAAGAACCGAGCCATGGAGAGTTCTTGTAGCCACAAAGACAGGTGAAATCGGCGTGTTGTAGAGCGGAGCAGCAAGGCTGTGATGGGCTTGTTGGATTCTCCTTGCTAACCGCTGGTTTGCACTCATTCAACTCATCCTGTGTCATACCACAGAGGTCAATCGCAACTGACCTATCGACTAACTTAGCCATCACCACCACGATCATCACCATCATAGCCATAGCCGTCTTCTTGCTCGCCATTTTAGCCTCCTCTTTCTTTTTATGTATGTTTGTATGTGTTTGTGGTGTTGAAATGAATGTGCATGAGAATTGAGAAGGTGTATATATATCAAGTTTTAGAGAAACCCGTGAACCAGATTGGATTGTTCCATATAGTCACGGGGATGTGTTTTTCCACTTTACTTTTGGGAGAGGGTATTTTGTCATAGAATCATAGCAATTGGATTCTTATCAATTATCAACTATCAAGTATCCATTACACAATTTCCAGGCCACAAATCTTTTACTACAAATAGAAACAGAAAATTCAACTTGCATAGCATAATTATAAAATTCTCTTTTAATGAAAAAAAGTACACATTAATAAACAGCCGTAAAATACTGGGCCTGATGTGAGCCCAAGTAGGAGTGATGTACTCATAAACCCTCGTGGCCTTTTAATAATTTCATAATTCCATAGATTATTTAATAGAAGTTTCAGTGTTTCACAATCAACAACAATTTGCTACTTTTAACCACAAAACAAATCAGAACATTAGTTAGGATCCCTGTTATAAAAATCCCCGTCTAACCCGACTACTCTCCGCTTAATCGTTAAGTGCACCTTCTCCGCCTCGATTAATGACTAATCTCTTAAAAAATCAATCATCCGATTACTCTCCGCCTAATCGGATTAATTCTCGCCTAATCTGATTATTTTCCGCATATTCTTACATATCCAGATTATTTTTTGATTGCAAGTATAAAACAATTTTCTTTTTTGTTATGTTAACATTTGAATTGGAAGTTTGTGATGTTTTATAATGATTTATGTTCAAATTTTTGATAAAATTCATAATTTTTTTAATAAAATTTACCTTAAAATATATTTTTATGTGTTTACTACAATTTTGAAAACAATATTAGATTAATATATTTTTAAAATATTAAAGTAACCCTAAAACTAGTCCCCGATTAATCCCCGATTTTAATCTGATTTTCCGATTAATCGCTAGGCCATACCGAACGTCCGATTAGCGTCTAACGGATTTTCAAACAAGGGTTAGTATATATATATATATTTGACAGCATCATCAGTTAGTATATATATGGGACAATATATAGAACTAAGAATGAGAATATATATCGACTTTTGATATTAAAAAAAAAAAAAAAAATACTGTACATTTCAGACTTTGACCGCAAAACAAAAAGATATATGAAGGTGAAAAAGAAGAGCAAAATAGCCTTTGACCTTTGTCTTAAACTTAGCCTTTCCCTTCCTTCTCTGTGTGGTTAGTGTTGGGAATATCCAAATCTCTAGATTCTCAATTTCTTTTGCTCTTCTATTTTCTTTTATTTGAGAATTTCAGTCCTATTGGTCAAAAACTCATAATCATGGCACATACGAGATGATTATTTGTTCTGCGAAATGGTTTAGTGGTTTTAATATATGTATTTTTATAGTTGATATTTTTCACTATCTAATCTTTCTCAATTTTGGTGAGGTTGATAATAGGTCAAGAGCATTAGCTTTCAACTACAATTACTGTTTTTACCGGCGATCACTGTTTAACCTAAACCTAAAAAGTAAGAAGTGTATAGCGGCAATCATTATTTTACCTCATTTACAGTCATTTTCTTTTTGTTAAAGAGAGTTAGGAAAAGCAAATTACTCCTTTGCCAACGAAGGTAAGAAATAGAAAGACTCATATACCAAATGACCAATTTTAGAGGTATCTGAGCCAATGGAAAAGAAGAGAAGAGTTCATACTTCATAGACAAGAGCATCAAATTTCATATATAATTAGATTGAGATATATCGTTCATGAATTTGATGCAACAACTAGATTTTCTCGACTCTGTTTTCTCTATTTCCATGTTATATTTCTTAGTGAACTTTTGTGGCGTTTTTATGAAAAGTATTTTCATGTTTATAGGTTAAGATTGATATTATTTTGTAAGTGTGAACCATAACTATGCCATGATTTAGTATGAATCTCGATATATATGAATCTAAGCAACTCCATTTAATTAAAGATATAGAATATTAAAAACATGCTTAATAATAAACAAACAAAACAAAAACACTCAATTAGCTAGAAAAATACACCACAACAATGCTTAACAAGCTGGGGCATTGGCTAGGTCACATTCTTTAGGGAGACCAGAAGCGAGCTTGGGATCTACACCGAAAGAACCGAGCCACGGAGAGTTTTTGTAGCCACAAAGACAAGTGTAGTCAGCATGTTTTAGAGCGTTGCAACAAAGCTGTGATGGGCTCTTTGGGTTATTCTTGCTCACCGCTGGTAAGCACTCATTTAACTCTGCTTGAGTCATGCCACAAAGGTCAATCGCCACTGACCTCTCGATGACTAAACTAGCCATCACCATTACAATCACCATAATAGCCATCTTCTTGCTTGTCATTTTATCCTCTTTATTTTTTATATATTAGTTGTGTTTGTGGTGTTAAAATGAATGTGCATGCGAAGGTGTATATATTACTAAGTTTTGGGGCAAACCCGTGAACTAGATTGGATTTTCTTACTTCACTTTTGGGATAGGGTATTGGTCACTCGGATTCTTATTATTGCTACTCTTTTTTTTTTTTCGTATTTATCAATTATCCACAATCTCCAGTCCACAAATCTTTTACTACAAAATGGAAGAAGAAAATTCCAGAGTAATATACAACTGGCACATTGTATAAATTCTCTTGAAAAAAAAATGATATATTGATAAACATATTTTGCTTCTTGCAAACATTTGTGGATTACTTGCAAGTGATTTGTATGCCACTATAACCGAAAAAAAAAAAGTATAACAGTTATTAGTATGTCATTTGCTGTAAATTTTAATGAGAATCTTGGATTTCAAACTAATCATTCAGATCATACATTGTTCACAAAGGTCAGAGACTCAACAATCCTCATTGTCTTGGTTTATGTGGATGATAGAATTGTTTCAAGCAATAATGATGAGACTGCAGATAATCTCAAGTCACAATTGAAATCTCATTTCAAGTTGAGAGATTTAGGTCCTGCTCAATATTTTCTTGGATTGGAAATAGCAAGATCTGAAGCTGGAATCTCGGTGTGTCAACGTAAATATGCTTTGGAGCTGCTGGATTCTGCAGGTTTATTGGCTTGTAAGCCATCTTCAATTCCTATGGAACCTAATCAGAAGATGTCTATGGATGATGGAGAATTGTATGATAATCCAGAGAGCTATCGAAGTATTGTTGGGAAGCTCATTTACTTGACTATTACCCGTCCAGATATTTGTTTTGCAGTGGGAAAATTAGCTCAATACACTGGTGCTCCCAGAGTTCCTCATTTTAAAGCAGTTTTGAAACTCCTGGCTTACATTAAAGGGACTATTGGTCAAGGTCTTTTCTACTCTTCTGATCCTAACATGGAATTAAAGGCCTTTGCTGACGCTGATCTAAGTGCTTGCCCGAATTCAAGAAGATCTGTCTCAGGATATTGTGTGTTTCTTGGTGACTCTCTTATTTCTTGGAAATCTAAGAAACAAGAGATTGTGTCACGGTCTTGTGGATGTAGGATTCACACTCGATTGTCTTTAAGTATTTTTGTGGAGAAAAACTCTAAAATCAACAAATGAAAATAAGGATTTGAAAAGGAAAGTAACCAAGAAACTAAATAAAGCGAAAGAACTTGGCAAGAATAAAATAGTAAAAAAGTCTTGCAAAATTGTAAAAGAAAGAGTATGTTATATTGCTTGATCGTAAGACGGAAAAAGTTGTTCTCTCTCCAAACACATGCGTTTGAGGTTGTTTTTATAGAGAAAACATGATCAATGCGGTCATTTACTGCTCATAATCGCATTGATCCGCATTAATCATGTAGGTTACAATTTGAACGAAACGGCTTGAATTTGAACTATCTTGGGCTCCGCGTGGATCTTCCGAACTCTTTCTTGTTGACTCCGAACTCCTGCGTCTTGACGCTGCCGCGAACCTCGAACAATATTCTCCTCGCTTCAGCCTTCTTTTATGCGAACAGTATGTTGAATAAGAGCGAACTCCGTACTGGTAAAGATCGAGCTCTTTAATAAACTGAATCGAACTCCCGACAGGTCGAGCTCGATACCGGCAACGAAACATCTAGAAATCCAAGAGGATTATTATGTAATAATGACGTGGACAGATCCAAGTGGATCCTACCGAAGATGTGTGGGATCCGACCTCAACATTTAGCCCCCCAAGTCTTGTGAGCTGAGTGCTCGGCTTGGAAGACTTAAGTAAACTGTAATTAATGACTCGATATCTTTAACATTCCAGAATTATTCCATGTTTTTCGCTATTACGCTGATCTCGGATAA